CTCATTTTCAATAAGATCAGGGTCACGCCCAATATATTTGTCGACTAACTGCTCGTACTTTTTGCCTCGCTACTGGCTCTAAATCCTTACAATAATCTCTGTGACACCTCCATCAATCTGACATCATCATTGATTTGAATGTGAATCTGTGCCATTCATGTTATCATGTAAAGCTCCTGTCGTTGCTGTACTGTTCGCAGTTTCAGTTGAGTGGTTAATGATTTACAGTTACTTTACATGTTGGTAAGTATTACATTATGGATTAAATTACAGTTACTTGGTGGCAGTTAGTTTTTTTCACATTTTGGGCTAAACCAGGACTAAAAGCAGGACTAAACCAAGACTAAAAAAGGACTAAACCAGGACTAAACCAGGATTAAACCAGGACTAAAACCAGGACTAAACCAGGACTAAACCAGGACTAAATAAACCAGGACTAAAAGGACTAAACAAACCAGGACTAAACCACCAGGACTAAACCAGGACTAAACTAAACCAGGACTAAACCAGCCAGGTCTACTAAACAGGACTAAATCAAAGGACTAAATAAATCAGGTCTAAACTAGGACTAAACCAGAAAACTAAAAGGTAAACAGGACTAAAACCAGGTCTAAACCAGGTCTAAACAATATGACACCTAACAGTAGAGTGAACATAATTTAAGGCAGCAGTGATCTCATAGAAATAATTTCTCTATCAATAATATTTTTTATATGCTTAAGTAAAGACTGTTTTTTTTATTTTCTTTTAGCAGACAATTATGTTATGATTTCCTGGTCTTTGCTTCTCTACAGTAAACAGTTGCTTATTCATGGAGACTTGGGCTCAACAGAGAATTTGAAGAGAACAAGAATTTTCAGGACGTGGTTGGTACATTCATGTAGTTTTAAAAAGCATAACAATATCAAGTAATCCAAAGTAATCAGATTATGTTACTCATTTTAAGTAATTTAATGGATTATGTAACAAACTACATTTTGGGGTATGTAATCTGTAATCTGTAAGGGAATACATTTTAAAAGTCACCTTCCCAACACTGCGTATGGGGCTACTACCAAGTGAAGGATAAAATATAATGTTCATTTTAGGGTCCAGGGTGGTCTTCAGCGCATCATCTGGTGGAGTGGTGGCCCTGTGAACGAGCTGCTGCTTTGTTTTACTGTGTTTTTAGATTTTAACCCTCTCTAGGCAGGCGTTGTAGATTTGCAACAGCTAAATGCCAATTACCTACTAACTCCAAATCCATATTTTATGAGCCTTTTTTACTCAGGAGCCTTTTCTCCCATCCATGCTGATAAACATGGATGATGCAGACTGTATGAATGAATGTAAGAATGACTACACACAAGTGCAAAGTACTTTTATTGTTTACAAAAGATAAAAATTGTTGCTTGGAGCACCACACGAAAAAGTGATGTTGTTTTGCCGCTGTAAAGCTGTTACACTGTGCTTTATGTTTTCATTGTTATGAAAAATGATATACACATAAAGTTAGTGTTCATATCATTTTCAGTCTTCAGTTTTAATTTACCACACCGGACCAATGCTGCAAATCTAAAACATCCAAGAACGCACTGGATGTGAAGGTCTCTCAAAAAAAAAAGTCAGGATTGTTTATTACTACCGCATATGATCATTTTCCCCAAATATCAGATTTTTCCTGATACTAAAAATTATTTTAAGGACAAAGTCATCGTACAGCTGCTTTTGTGACTCTTTTAATCAGCAGTCATGTAAACAGTCCTTGTGCACATTCAGAATTACTGTTGAAGTTTCCTGTCTAGAAGTAATTCAGCGACCGACGCGTCAGTTTTTAGACCCTTCGTCTGCTTCGGTCGCGCCATCGCTGGACGAGATCTCCAAGAATCACCTCAGTTTGGTTTTGCTCCTTTTCTCCTTCTCTTCTTCTTTCAACGACCTCAAAAACGGACTTTCTTTTGCGGCGAACCGGTCGTGGATTCTCGTCCACCGTCGCGACAAACTTTGTGCGAAATGCGAGGAAGCGACAGTTCGAAAAAGCCTCTAAGAACCGCTGCGTAAACCACGTAATCCCTGCGCTCCGACGAGTCAGTTACACTAGGGAGTTTGATTGACAACCTAACAGCCAATAGAAAATGAGGAAGCCTCGTTTTCTATTGGCTGATGTTTATCTGGCCTCACTACGTCCACAGTTGATAGATTTTCGTTCTTTTTTTTTTTTGGTCATCATAATTACAAAGCTGCTGCGTCTCTGTAATGGTGTTTTAATCTTTCACTGACAGTTTGAAACAAAAAAAAATCCTCCATACAACCTTTAAGTTAATCTATAAGAAAACAAATGAGTAATGGTAGTAATAAATGATTTCATGTTTTGTAAATCACTTGTCTCTGTCTGTCAATTAACGAACCCGTGAGCCTTATTTTAGTTTAGCAAATTTAGTTTCTGGGCTGTCTCCAGTGGCGTTGTTGGTTTTGTTAAATTGTATTACGTTGGGTTTCTCTTTTACCCCCCTCCCATACACCCCTCCCACTACACTTACATCAGCAGGGAGGAGTTAACTAACTGAAACTAACACACACACTTGTTTACAGTTTCTGTTTGTTAGTTTGGCCTAATTAGTGGGGTCTAATTAGCAGAACAATTCATGTCCATAATGGAGCTTCCACACCTCTGAACCTGACCTGACTACATCTATTGTTCTCTTGTTTGTTTTGATTTAGGTTTGAGGATGGAGTTGTAAATAGGAGATAGATGGCGTGGTGTCTGAGGCAAAAATGGCTTCTTTTACTCCCCTCTCAAACCAATTCTTTTCTCTGACTAAAATCCGTACCTCGCTGTCCTCAAATGAGTGGCCCGTTTACTGATCACTCTGTTTGACATGAGCCTCACACCTGTCGTCCACCACCAGTGTATAAAACCTGTCTGTGCGCTCTGTGTGTGTTTGTATTAAACCTTCAGAAAACGCCTTTGTGGTCCTCACCTCTTTTTTACTTCTTTTCTTTTGAGGACATCACAATCGCATTAGACAAGCCAGATGCATTTGCTCTGAGTGTTTTAGCACAAGTGTTAGTTTTCAACACGTGTCCATATAAAAATATAAACTACACGCATAAAAACAGAGAATACAAGACAGATAAAATATATACAGTGCATTTTCAGTGGATGCAGTTTTGATTGGAAACATACAATAATTTTAATTTCCTTTTAAATTTGTTGTTATTGGTTTCCAATTTTAAATGAGCTGTTAAACCGTTCCACAGACTGGCCCCTTTAAAAGAGAAGAGGACTGACCAAGAGTTTGTCCTGTACCGAGGAACAACACAACTACCACGAGTAGCGCCTCTTGTGTTCGCTCTGTGTGAACATTTTATGGTCCTGGCAAATTCTGAGTGTAATGGTGTATCGCAGTTAAGACACTTAAAAAAGAATTTAAGATGATTAAAACTGATAACATTTTCAAAGTTAAAAAGTTGATGTTTCTTTATAATTTCACAGTGGTGCCAGTGTTTGGGCTTTTTGTCAAGGATCTTAAAGGTTGTATGGAGGATTTTTTATTTGTTTCAAATTGTCAATGAAAGTTTAAAATACCATTACAGAGACGCAGCAGCTTTGTCATTATGATGACCAAAAAACAAAGAAAGAAAATCTATCAACTGTGGACGTGTTGAGGCCAGATAAACATCAGCCAATAGAAAACGAGGCTCCCTCATTTTCTATTGGCTGTTAGGTCGTCAATCAATCTCCCTACGTTTCTAAGGTAACTATGCAGCAGTTCTTAGAGGCTTTTTCTAATTGTGGCTCTCTCAGTTCGCATAAAGTTTGTTGCAATGTCGGACGAGCATCGACGACCAGTTCGCTGCAAAAGAAAGTCGGTTTTTGAGGTCGCTGAAAGACGAAGAGAAGGAGAAAAGGAGCGAAGACGAACTGAGGTGATTCTTGGAGATTCCTTTCAGTGACTGCACGACTGAAGCAGACAAAGGGTCTAAAAACTGAGGTGTCGGTCTCTAAATTATTTCTAGAGGGAGCTGTGGAGGAGGAAGGTGGTGTCAAGGACCGTCGCTGGATTTTTCTTTCCTTAAAAAAATCCTCTATACCACCTTTGAGGGTCAGTTTGTAAAATGAACAAAGCGGTTTCAGTGTAGTTGAGGAGGCCTGGGACCATGAGGTGATACAATAAGACAGATGAGAGAAGATCATTGTGTTCATGAATAGTTTAGAGGTGTGGAGCGATAGATCTTTACGTATGAAACGAAAGCAACTGAGACTAGTCTTAATCTTCTTCGCCAAGTATTTTGTGTGACCGGTAAATTTTAAATTTTCATCTAGAATGAGGCCAAGGTATTTGACTTCACTGACTGCTTGAATTTTCTCATTGTGCATAGTCACTTCAAAGTCACAGGTTTTTGTTTGTGTACAGCAACTAGAAACAACTAGAACAGCAACTAGAAACTCATGACATCACTTCATCCTCCTCCTTTTGAGCATCAGGTCCCAAATATCCACATGTCCTTGTTGATGTTGGTTGGTTGTACCTTGCTCAAACAAAAATTAAAAAAATAAATGAAATGGGGAAAAAAAGGAATCATTTGAAAAAGGAATTATTATTTCTATGTAATCTTGAAGGAGAGTATGTTCATTCCAAACAATTTAATTCCGAAAATTTCATTTGGAATTAAAAAACATCATGTAAACGTGGCCATTTCAGTCGGTGTACTATTCGTTCTTTTGAATTTCAATTAAAATCGAAAAACAATAAAATGGGAAAACAGCTTGTTATTTTATTATCCCTTTTTACTGTCAAAAAAAAAAAAAGAAAAGATTTCGACCTCTATTTCCAATATTTAATTTAATGTTCATTTCAAATAAAAACCAATATGGATCATTTATTGTTTCTGGTTTATTTTTTCAGGAAATTCTGCTGCAGTTTCAACTGTGGGTCTACAATACAAACTATTTTTATAATAGTTCTGAGTCAACTGAACAAAAGAGTTAATCACCTCGCTGCTTCCTGTTTCTAATCATGGCGTTCAACGATGACTTTCTAAGACGTGAAAGTGAACTCGTTGCTATAAAAGAAGTGACATGTTTGTCCACAAAAATGCAACGATTTTTCAGTTAAATCCTTCCAGCAGCTGAACCTCTGGGGCAAATAAACCAGAAGAAACCCTGTTTTACTTGCAAAATGTGAGATTTATTAGGATAAACTGTGCAACATTTGTGCAGGATTTTTCTCCATGTTCTTGGGTCGCTCCGTCTCCTCCAACGCACCCGTCTCAAGTAACTGATGGGCAAAGGTCTCATTCTTTTATATGATTGGTGTTTTCTGAAATAAACTTTAAATTAAATATTGGAAATAGTGGTTAAAATCTTGACACTAAAATGGAAAAATGAAATAACAAACTGTTTTCCCATTTTATTGTTTTTTGTTCTTGATTGAAATTCAAAAGAACAAATGTTACACAAACCGAAATGACCATATATGATTTTTTTTTTTATTCCAAAATTAAATGTTCTGAATTAAGTAGTTCAGAATTAAAATATTCTCCCTTCGAGTTTACATGAAAATAATAATTCCCAAAGGAGTTTTAAGTTTTAAGTTTTAAGAGAGTCCTTGCCTCAAGTGGAGGAGTTCAAGTATCTCGGGGTCTTGTTCTCGAGTGAGGGGAGGACAGCGCGTGAGAGCGGCAGTTCTGAGGTTGTTGTATCAGACCGTTGTGGTGAAGAGGGAGCTGAGTCAAAAGGCAAAGCTCTCGATTTACCAGTCAGTCTTCGTTAATCCCCTCATCTGTGGTCATGAGCTCTGGGTAAAGGACGAGATTGTGGATACAAGCGGTCGAAATGAGTTTCCTCCGCAGGGTGGCTGGGCGCTCCCTTAGAGATAGGGTGAGGAACTCAGTCACACGGGAGGAGCTCGGAGTAGAGCCGCTGCTCCTCCACGTCAAGAGGAGCAGTTGAGGTGGCTCGGGCGTCTGTTCCTAATGCCTCCTGGACGCCTCCCTCAGGAGGTTTTGGGCATGTCCCATTGGGAGGAGGCAAGGAAGACCCAGGACACACCGGAGGGACTGTGTCTCTCGGCTGGCCTGGGAAGGCTTTGGTATTCTCCCATAGGAGCTGGAGGACGTGTCTGGGGTGAAGGAAGTCTGCGAAGTCCCTGTTTAGACCTTTACCCCTGCGACCCAGCCCCGAAAGAAAATGGAGAAGAAAATTCGATGAGAAGTTCTTTATGGTTTTTTTTTTCTCCATTTCATTATTTTTAATTTAATTTTTTTTTTTTTTTTTTTTTTTTTTTGAGCAAGGTACAACAAAACAACAACATGTACATATTTGGGACTTTTTCTTTTTTTTTTGACACTAAAGTGGAATAATGAAATAACAAACAGTTTTCCCATTTTATTGTTTTTCCTTCTTAATTGAAATTCAAAAGAACAACCCATTTCCTATCCTACCTCCATTTCCTTTCTGAATCTGTAATTTTATTGCTTTGTTTTTCTTTCTTCAACAGCTCATTGTGGAACCCTGGAAGCACTTACCCACCCTGACGCGCTGGACCAACAACACGACCGCCTCCACCCCGCCCGACCTCGCTCTCTCTGCGGACTGGGAGCTGATCTACGCCCTGGTCCCTCCGTACATCTTCACCATCTCCGCCCTGGGCCTCCTCTTCAACAGCTTCGTCCTGGCGGTCTTCCTCGCCACCAGAGACCACCTCACCGTCGCCGAGATCTACCTGAGCAACCTCGTGCTCGCCGACTTCCTCCTCATGTGCTGCTTGCCGTTCTGGGCCATGAACATCCTCGCCGAGTTCAACTGGCCCTACGGCGACGCTCTGTGCAAGACCGTCAACTCCATCATCGTGGTCAACTTGTACGTAAGCATCCTCACGCTGGTCATGATTAGCGTGGATCGTTATTTGGCGCTGGTGAAGACTATGAAAGCGCTGTGGCTACGACGAACGCTTTACGCCAAAATAATCTGCTTCGTGTTGTGGGCGGTCGCGGTTTTGCTCAGTCTTCCGATGCTGATCCACAGGAAGGTCATGTACGTCGAACAACTGGAGACACTTTCATGTGTCCTTGACTACGAACATGAAAGTTCTTGGAAGCTGGCCCATCAGATCCTCATGAACTTGGCCGGTTTCGCACTTCCACTTCTGGTCATTGTTTTTTGCAGCGCCAACATAATCAGATCGTTATCGAAGAGGAGGACGATGGCTTTCCAGGATGTCAGTGACAAGAAGGCCACCGCTTTGGTCTACGCGGTCACTCTGGTTTTTCTATTTTCCTGGAGTCCATTTCAGATCTTCACTTTCTTGGATGTTCTTTGCGATCTGAACGTGCTAGAAGAGGCGAAGTGGTACCACGCGCTGGATATAGGAGGGCAGGTGTCGGTGTATCTGGCGTTTCTCAACAGCGTGCTCAATCCGCTGCTCTACGTGTGCTCAGGGCAGTACTTCAGAAGGAAGGTTCGCGCCATCTGCAGGCGGAGCAGGAGAGGCAGGAGGGGGTCGGACATGACCGTGTACCAGAGGTCGGTCATATCCACGTACCTCAACAGAACGGAGCAGATCAAACCCGTGGTGCTGTACACAAAGGAACATCTGTGAAAAAGAAAGGAAAGAAAGTACTGATACTTTCAAGTACTGTTACTCAGAGGTGGGGACCTGCAAGTCGTGACTTGGACTTGAGTCAGACTTGAGTCACTTTTTTTGAGACTTGAGACTTGGCTTAATAAAGAAGACTAAGACTTGGGACTCGAGTTGGACTTGAAGGTCAGTGACTTGGGACTTGATTTGGACTTTAGGCCTATGACTTGAGAAGACTTGATGCTTCTCCTCAAAAAAGTGGCAAAGCCTGAACCCATCTCAGAAGCTCGGCAGGGCCGGGCCTGGTTAGGACTTGGAAGGGAGACCACTGGGAAAAATCAGGAGCCACCGGAGGCGCCATTCGTTAAAAGAAAAGAAAAAAAAACTGTTGGTGTGTCCTTAGGCAAGGCATTTCATCCACATTGCCTAGTATGAAAGTGGGGTGTGCGTGAGTGTCGGTGGTGGACGGAGGGGCCAATGGTGCAGATTGGCAGTCTCGCTTCCGTCACTCTGCCCCAGGGCAGCTGTGGCTTCAATGTTAGTTTACCATCACTGAGAGTGGAGTGAATGAATAATGCTCTGTAAAGCGTCTTTGAGTGTCCAAAAAAGCGCTGTATAAAAGTGAAGCATTATTATTATTATTGAAAAATATGTTTTTAGAAAATTCTTTTCTCTAAATTTTGCAGGAACAAACTGAAACATGTCCCTCCCACTTTTGTTACTCCAGATGTAACTGAAGTACTGTGATATGATATCCTCAAATGTACTGCAGTAATATACAGTACAATACAGTAATATACAGTAAAACACATTGAACTACATAGAACATGATCCTTACATTTCATGACAAAATAAAATAAGCACTTTTAAATATTAATTCTTTCTATTCTGACTGTAATGATTCACAATAAGATCTGGACAAGACATTTAAAAAGGAAAAAAAAATGCATTTCTACAACACTTATATAAATATATCATGACTTTTTAAGTACAATTTAGTTTAAAAATTCATATAAATTGCAGAAATCTAAGCTATATTTGGTACTTTGGTTTAAAGACTTGAAGCTCAAAGCAGACGACTTGGACTTGACTTGGACTTATGGGCCAGTGACTCGAGACTCAACTTGGACTTGCCTGTATTTGACTTGGGACTTGATTCGGACTTGAGGTCAAAGATTTGAGACCTGCAAAACACCGACTTGGTCCCTCCTTTGCTGTTACTCATGATGCGGAGCAGTGGTGGAAAGTGTCCTGGTCATTTGTACTCAAGTAAAAGTATTGTTACACAGCTGGACATGTTCTCAATTGAACGAACTGCCGCCAGTCAAAAGCTTCAACACTTTCATTTTAGTTTTTGTCTTTATTTTCTTCTTAGAATCTCACTGAAGCATCAAAACTATAAATGAACACAAATGGAAAGTAGGAAACAAATATAAACTCAAAATAATTCAGATTTTTTGATTTTTAAAAACCCAACATTTGCTTTGATCACTAAAAAATAAAATATAAAAAATTGCCTTTACCCTTTGCTTGGATCCCTGGTTTTCACTTTAGGCATTTCGTGACCCTGACAAGTCACAGCTGTGAAGTGAAAACCAAAACTTTATCAAGGCCAAAGGTTTGTGTTGCTAAAAAAAAATAGAGGATGCATCCAGACCAGGCGTCTCCAACCTTTTCCCTCTGGTGTGTGACCTTTACAAAACAAAAATGCCAGAGTGCTACTATTTTTAGAGGTTACAAGAAATGACGTATATTTAAGAGCCACGGCGAGCCTTAAATGACGTACAGTTAGATTCTTATAAAACAAAAACCATTATCCATTTATTAGTGTATAAAGTTAGACATCAAAATGATACTTGTACAATGGTCAAAGTCATTTAATTCATCAGATTTTACTCATTCAGGACAATACGTGTAATTCAGAAATACCTTGAAGACTACAGGTTGGAGACCCCTGATCTAAACTTTTGACTGGCAGTGTAAATACTGTAAAAGTAAAAAAAGTACACATGAAAATAATGTAAACAGAATTAGGTGGTTTTAAACTGTAATCAGTGTATTCAGCTTTGGGAGGATTTGGAGTTACTGTACTCAGTAAATACTATGATTTTAAATTACGATTACCCCCGGAGGAGCTGGAGGAAGTGTCTGGGGTGAGGGAAGTCTGGGTGTCCCTGCTTAGACTGCTGCCCCCTCGACCCGGCCCTGGATAAGCGGAAGAAAATGGATGGATGGATAAATACAATTACAAGTACAAGTTTAACCTCCTAGGACCTGAACTCTTGCATGACTTTATTGATTTCTCTTTGTGGTTTGGACCTGATGAGGCAAAGAACAAAGAATTATATTTTTACTTGATGTAGTTTCTGAGAAAAATGACGTCCACATATGATTTTTAAACATTTATTCATTTTGTTTTAATCATTTTAATGGAACATAATAAAGTCACAATTGAATACTGTTGTTCAAGTGACTTCAAAACTGTAATGTGTTTTTATGATTTGTTACTGTTATTTAAAAGTGATTTATTATATCACAATATTACTGTGTTTAAAATGTAAAATATTACACGACTATTACAGCACTTTAACTCACACCAAAATAACTGTGTTATTATGTCCACCCTACTGTTGGGTGTCATATTGTTTATAAAAAAATAAATAAAAAATCACTTTCAGTACAATCATAAATGCACCAACCCAGTAAAAATCAGTAATATTTGATGTTTTTTACTTAAAATGATGCAGAATCAGATTATTAACAATGATGATTATTAACGACCTTGTCCATTGTGTGACTGACGCCACCAAATGTTAACAAGACGTTTACGTAGCTCTTATTGCACGTGTTCTTTTTGGGATTCCGGCAAAAAGGGACCTAATGTGCTAAACTTTCCCTGGTCACCCATTCCCTCTCAGGCCACCCCACTCTCCCAGTCCACCCGTGTCCTCCCAGTCCACTTTTTCCTTCCCAGGCCACCCCACTCTTCCAAGCCTCCCGTGTCCTCCTAGGCCACCCCACTCACCCAGGCGATCCCACTCTCCCAGGCCACCCAAATCTCCCAGTTCACCAGTTTCCTCCCAGGCTACACCACTTTCCTTGGAAGCCCCACTGTCCCTCCGTTACCACTTGACCGGACCCAGAAGTAAACTGTGAAGGCACTCGAAAAAAGCGTATCACATTCTTCCAGACAAATTCTCTCCAGTTGATGGATGCTGTGCACTTCACATTGTTCTTCCCACTCTTCTAATCGTAACATAAACCTTCTTTCTTTCTCCCATTTTTCATTTTTCATTGTAACATCACTGACCCCACTACTCTGTATTTCTGTATAAAGTTTAGAAAAAACTTTTGATCAGAATCAGAATCAGAATTTGTCATTTCAGTATTGAAAAAAATAGACAGAAACGAAATACTGCACTCAGGTCCAGGTCAACAGCAGCACAGATAATAATAAGAATACATAGTTTAAAATATTGTATGTCAAATACAGATTTTAAAGGGCCCATCTCATGCAAAATCAACTTTTCAGAGCTTTCTACTTTCTAAGAGTGAGTGTGTGTATTTGTCGCCGAAGTGTTTTTTAGATTGATTCGGCATTTTTTAAAACAAATTGCAGCGTATTTCTGCCACCCTCCCACGTGACATCGAACTAAAACTGCTACAACGATGACGCAGCAGATACACCTATGACGCGTTTGACGTAGCAGAAAGCGCTTCACACCCGGCCCCCTCTCCCACTCCACCGCCTCCGCCCCGACTGCAGTGTCCACGATATAATAAGTTTATCTACTAGTGCAGAGGTGTTCACACTTTTTCAGCATGTGAGCTACTTACAAAATGACCAAGTCAAAATGATCTACCTAATACAAAGCCAAGCAAACTGCACTGAAACACTCTGTGCCCCTTTTTTGGACCCTCACCCACAGTTTGAGAACCTCTTCTTTAAGAGAACTTCCTCTGACACTTGTGAAAAAAGTGAAGGAAGATTTTTAAACCTGTTTTTTAAAGTTCCAAACTGGAGTTTCATTCTTTTCTGGTTTTGCAGTGATATTTACCAGCCTCTGCACGTTTACCAAACCAAACGCACATCGTGACAAACACAGATGCATTTGTGCACTTTTGTTAGACAAACTTCAGCCAAATGTGGCAGTAGGTCTGTTCTGTAGATCCGCTCTATGCTGTAGACCTGCTTTGTGCCAACACTGGAACACAAATTTAGACTCGTTTTTGCTTCACGTTTGGTCTTGTTCTTCTAATCAGCCGCACTGTGGGAGGGGCTTGTGTTCGCTGTACGCAGGAAGGAGCGAGAGCGTGAAAAGGCGAGGGGCGGCGTGCTGACGTGAGGCAGATGGACAGGTAGGATGTTTAGGAAGTTGAACCTGCCCTGTGATGCACGCTGGTACACGAGGGCACACGCTGTCGCAGACGAGCCGTGCATAGGGAGCGTGTGTGTTTGTGATGCGCCGTAGAGTCTCCGCGGGTTTCAAATGAGCGCACAGGCTGCACTGAGACGCCCACACGCTCCTGCACCCGCTACAAGTTTATTGACAACAGCAGTAATGAAATATGATCGCACTTGTTGAGTGTCAGACCTCGAGTGAGAGACAAGACCGAGTCCAAACGGCGTCGAGTCCGAGACGAGACACGGCGATCTACCCACACGACCTTGGCGATCAACTAGTAGATCGCGATCGACGTATTGGGCACCCCTGTACTAGTGTTTATTGATATTTTATCAATCAGTGATGTTCAGCTGATGTCAACGCAATGCTTGAGCTTCGTGCTCCTCAAAGTCCTCGTCCGATTCCGGGTCCAGCACATGCGGCTGAACACGCCGTATCACCATGATGAATAAAAGTTTATTCCGACCGCTATCAGGGTGCACGCCTGTCTCCCCCTCCCTCCCTGAGACGGGCGGAGGAAGGGCGGCTCACTCAGCGTTTGGAGGGCGGAGCCTGTGCTTTCTCAGGACGGGCGGGGGATGAGCAGTAGTCGGTCTTTCATAGTTCCTGGTCTGT